CTAGTAAACAAATGACGTAATTATATGTTTATAATGTGATCGTCGATCACTGGGTTAACTCTTCTTAAAGTGTCCCACGAAATTTAGTAGGGTTAATATTCCCCTCAAGTATCAGCTTCAGCGGCAACGTGCAATATATTAATTAAGTCTAATAGAGAAAATACAGAATTTGGTTTAAGAACTTGAACGAAACGAATTGGATTTAAATAAAACCGGTTAATATTTAAGCTAAACCGGATTGAGTTTAAACTGAATTTAATCTGATTTAGTTGCAATCTATATATTATATATACGTATATATATATATATATATATATTTAACCTTTGTTTTTTATTTATTAACGTTAAAATTAAAAGATTACATATCGATATATAAAAATAAAACCGAATTTTGTTGGAAACCAGGTTGCGATTTATCCGTTTTACAGCCGACAGTATCAGAAACCTATTTAATATTAAAACCGACTTACTCGAAGAGGTTCGGGAACAAATTGGTGAAAAAATTTCTAATAATACTCTTTGTTAAAGGACTGGAAAGGCGCGGAAAATATATGCTCTTTTTAATCGCATTTTTATAGATAGAGGAAAAGAAATGTTAGTTCGAATTAAAATATTTTCAGCATCATCCATATCAAAATTAAGTTGGGAAGAGATTTAATATATAATAGCCAGGATAATTTATTATCATGTGATTACTGCGCCTGTGAACTTGAGTTCAAACCTAATGTCAAATAAATCAAAAATTATAAGTGAATACTAGTAATAACGATAATGATACTGTAAAACGAAATAAGGTTAAAGTTTGAGTTACGGGTTCGTATATTTCGTTCTGGATTTGTAGTATATGCAAATTTACCAGCGGGGTATAAATATTGGTTCTTATTTCACTGAGAATCTCGATCATGATATTATTCATATTATCGTGAAACCTCTTTCAGAACGGTATTACGAATAGTAGTGGTGTATGGTGTAGTAAAGTAGTGGTGTATACTATAAAAATCGCATTTGAGTATATAAAACTAGCATACTATCTATACTCAGATAATATATATATTATGAGTATACGTAGTATTGTTAGGTTATAAGTTAGTACCCGTCCTATATCACGTTATTTTTTTTTATATCTATTTTATTTTGTTATTATTTCGTTATTATTTTATTATTATTTATTTTATTTTATTTATTTTAGCCTGTAA